CAGGGCATTTCCCGTAAGACTGTCAGCTGTTTTTGCTAAAGATACTTAGCAGGCTAGAAGGGATTGTCAGCAGATGTTCAAAGTCATGAAAAGCAGGAACCTACAGCCAAGATTGCTCTACCCAGCAAAGATATCATTTAGAATTAAAGGGCAGAGAAAGAGCTTCCCAAATAAGAAAAAACTAAGGGAGTTCACTATCACCATACCATTATTATATAAAATGTTAAAGGGACTTAAGAAAAAGATCAAAACTATGAACAATAAAGTGGCATAAAATACAAATGTACCAAAATTGAATCTAAAAAACACAAGCTTCCCTAATGAAGGAGAACTAATTAACTAGGTAAGGAAGAGGAGAGATTATAATACAGAAAGAACAGTGTATGCTGAAGCTCTAAGGCAGGAAAGAGCACAACACATTTGAAAAGACAACCAATTGGGCTAAAATGCCAAGCCAGGAAAAATAGTGTAAACTGAGACTGAAAAATGCAGGGCCTGCTAAGTCATGTTCAAGATTTTGGCCATTTTCTATGGAATAGAATTCCACCTTCTATGGAAGGATGTTGATGGATTTTAAGCAGAGGTAATAAAATAATCAGATTTGCTTTTTTTGAAGACCATTCCACCCTCAATGTGAAGCACTAACTGGAAAGAGAGCAAGAATCAATGTGGAGAGAGACCATTAAGCAGGCTATTTGAAGTAATCCACAGAAGAGGCAGCAGGGTGGCTGCAAAAAGATAAATGAGGGGTTCAAAAGACACATAAGAGGCTATATTAATAGGACATGGTGATATGTACAGAATAATGGAACTGAAATGTAACTGGTCCTTAGAAATTTTAGGACATATATAGCCTGATTAATATGGCAGCAAAGGTAAATGTGGTACTACCATCTTCCCACAACCACATCAAAATTACAACTAATCTACAAAACCACCACCATTCAGAACTGCCTGAAATCTAACTGAATGGAAGTCCTACATGGAGACTGGTAGGAGGGGCAGAGATGCAGAATAGGCTGATCCCACACCCATGTGTGACAGATAAAAATTGGGAGGGGTATCTTGGCTTCAGAGGTACGTCCTGATGATTGAGGGGTCCCAGCCCCACACAAGGCTCCCCAGCCCTTGGCTCCAGTGCCAGGAAGAGAAGTCCCCATAACTTCTGGCTGTAAAACTAGTGCCGAGTGTTACTGAGTGAGAAGGAGGCTTCTGGAGTCCCAGGCAGTTCCTCTTAAAGGGACCACACATGGACTGACTTATACTCACTCACTCTGAGCACCAGCTCTGGGGTAGCAGCTCAAAAGACACCAAGGACATACAGAGTGGAACTGAATTCTCTGGAATGAGGGCAAAAGCGGGAGGGGCAGCTTTCTGCCAGACCAAAATGCCAGCAGAGGCTATTGTTCCTTTTCTGAGACACACCTCCTCATCCCCCGGCCCAGAAACAGCAGGTAGGCGCCATGTATCAGTTCCATCAACCTGGCTAACACTGTTTGCCCCACCTGGTGACTCCCTGCAACCCCGCCCCATCCAACTTTTGAGCCGACCCAAGCTGCTTTCAGTGGCTTTTCCATACAAATGGCCTGTCTGGCTCATGCTTCAGACTTTCCTAAAACCTCTAAAACAAGCAGCATCTGGCCTCAGCCTGCCCCATACCTCTTGCTAAGTGGCCCCAGGCCAGGCACTAGCAGCAGCCAGCCCTGATTCACAGCTTGGCCTCACCTGGGCACCTCCAAGCCCAGCACAAGCGACAGCCATCTGCAGATAGCTCTGTAGCTCATGCCAGGTGGCCCCAGGCAGAGCATAGGCAATGGCTGACCTTGGCCTGGGAGGCCCCAGAGCCAGCTCACCTGGTGGAGAGCCCATCAGCTTGGGAGTAAATCCCTCCCATTGACACGCCAACAGCAATCAAGGCTCACCTACAATGGGAGGGTGTACAGAGCTCGCATGGTTGGGGGCAAGGCAGGGGGTACCCGGAGTGCCCAGCTTGGGTGATCAGGGAGGCTGCACCACTGGATCCTACAGAACATCTACATTAGGCCGCTGTACCAAGACCAGAAGACTTATTAGCAGTTAATACAAACAAACACAAGGAGGCAGCCAAAATGAGGGAATAAAGAAACATGTCCCAAATGAAAAAACAGAACAAAACTCCAAGAAAAAAAAATAACTAAACAAAATGGAGACAAGCAATCTACTACGTGCAGAGTTCAAAATACTGGTTATAAGGATGCTCAAGGAACTAAGTGAGAACTTCAACAGCATAGAAAAGGACATGGAAACCATAAAAAAGAACCAGTCAGAAATGAAGAACACACTAACTGAAATGAAGAATAAGTTATAGGGAATCAACAGTAGAGTAGATGAAGCCAAGAATCAAATTGGTGACTTGGAATATAAGGAAGAAAAAAACCAGAAAGAAAAAACAAACAAACAAACAAACAAACAAAAAAACCCACCCAATCAGAACAGCCAAAAGAAAAAGGAATCCAAAAAAATACGGATAGTGTAAGGAACATCTCGGGCAACTTCAAGCAAACCAACACTCACAGTGTGGCAGAGGAGAAGAGGATAAAAGATTGAAAATATATTTGAAAAAATAATGACAGAAAACTTCTGTAACTTGGTGAAGAAAATAGACATACAAATCTAGAAAGCTCAGAGCCCCAAACAAGATGAACCCAAAAAAGCCTACACCAAGATATATCATATTTAAAATACAGAATGTTAAAAACAAAGAGAGAATCTTAACAGCAGCAAGAGAAAAGCAAGTTACCTACAAGGGAGCTCCCATAAGACTGTTATCTGAGCCCTCGCTGATGTGGCTCAGCTAATTGAACACAGGCCTACAAGCTAAAAAATCATCTGTTTGATTCGCTGTCAGGGCACATGTCTGGATGGCGGACCAGGTCCCCAGTTGGGGATGTGCGAGAGGCAACTGATAGATGTTTCTCTGGCACACTCATGTTTCTCTCCCTGTCTTTCTTCCTCCCTTCCCCCTCTCTCTCTGAAAAATAAATTAAATCTAAAAGCAAAAAAGCAAAAAAACAAAAAACTATCTGCTGATTTTTCAACAGAAATATTTCAGGCCAGAGGAGAGTGGCACTAAATATTCAAAGCGATGTAGAGCAAGGACCTAGAACCAAGATTACTCTACAGAGCAAAGCTATCATTTGAATCAAAGGACATAAAAGAGCTCCCTAGACAAGAAAAACTTAAAGGAGTTCATGATCATCACCAACCAGTATTACATGAAATGTCAAAGGGTCTTTTCTAAGAAGACAAAAAAGATTAAAAATATGAATAATAAAATGGCAATAAATATATATCAACAACTGAATCTAAAAAACAAAATTAAAAAAAACCTAAGCCACAAAACCTCAGACATTGCTCATAGCAATATTTTATTAGATATATCTCCCCAGGCAAGGGGAACAAAAGAAAAAATAAACAAATGGAGTTATGTCAAATTAAAGTTTTTGCACAGCAAAGGAAAGCATCAACAAAACAAAAAGACAACCCACAGAATGGGAAAACATATTTGCCAATACATCTGCAAAAGGGTTAACAGCCACAATTCATAAAGAACTTACAAAATCCAACACCAAAAAAACAAACAACCTATTAAAAAATGGGCAATGGACCTGAATAGACACTTCTCCAAAGAGGACATACAGATGGCCGGCCAAAAGACATATGAAAAGATGCTCAACATCACTAATCATCAGAGAAATGTAAATTAAAACCACAATGAAATGTTATCTCACACCTGTCAGAATGGCTATCATGGATAAATCGACAAACAAGAGCTGGCAAGAGGTAGAGAAAAGGGAACCCTTTTGCACTCTTGGTGGGAATGCAGATTGGTGCAGTCACTGTGGAAAGCAGTATGGAGATACATCAAAAAATTAAAAATGGATCTGCCTTTTGACCCAGACATCCCACTTCTGGGAATATATCCAAAGGAACCCAAAACACTAATTCGAAAGAATATAACCACCCCTATGTTCATTGAAGCGTATTTACAATCACCAAGATATGGAAGCAACCCAACTGTCCATCAGTAGATGAGTGGATAAAACAACTATGGGATATTTACACAATGGAATACTACTCAGCCATAAAAAAGAAGAAAGGTTTACCCTTTGTGACAGTATGGATGGACCCGGAGAACATTATGCTAAGTGATACAAGCCAGTCAGAGAAAGACAAATACCATATGATTTCTCTCATATGTGGAACCTAATAAACAAACTGAACTAATAAGCAAAATTGAGACAGACTCAGAGAGAGAGAGAGCAGGATGATAGCTAAGGCTGAGGAGGTAGGAGGGTAAATGGTACTGAGCAAAAAGGAAAAAGGACTCATGGACATGAACAACAGTGTGGTGACTCTAGGGGGAGAGGGTATAAGGGGACTAAATGGTAACGGAAAAAATACAATAAAAAAATTTTTTGAATTAAAAAATAAATTATTACCATCAATAGAAAAAACCATGAATAATAAAATAGCAATAAGTATATACCTATCAACAAACGAATCTAAAAACAAAATAAACAAAGCAGCACAAGAGAAACAGTCTCATAGATGCACAGAACATTTTGATGGTTACCCATGGCAGGGGACTGGGGAGAAGGGTGAAAAATATAAGGAGATTAAGAAGTACAAACTGGTAGTTACAGAATAGTCACAGGGATGGATGTAAAGTTCAGCATGGGAAATACAGTCAATAATGATTGGTGTCAGATGGGTACAAGGTTTATCAGGATGGTCACTTAAGTAAGTTGTATAATGTCTAATCACTGGCATATACACCTGAAACTAATATAATATTAAAAAATAAAAAGTGATAAAAAAATAAATTCTCGGACATAAAACACAACTATTTTGTCATTAATAATCAAGCATTGCAATTAAGTGTGAAAGACAGAAGGGTCAGCTTCCTGCTGAGTTTCTTGGAAATGCCTCCTCAGGAAGCTACCCAGGGCCTCACTCACTTGTAGAGTAGGCTGGGGGCCTTCACTGTACACTGGAAGCCTTGTTCGGTCTGCACCACCTCATAGCCATCACAGGGCTCTTCCGCACACTCCGTGAAGCCTGCACAGAAAGCATAACATGTTGCTCAGAGCTGCTGCTCTGTAGACAACAGCCTTCTCCCCAGCTGTCAACCACTCTCAAGGTTTAAAAAAAGCAATGCACTCATACAAAGAAAAGCCACACATTTTGCATTGCAAAGCACTGCTCTAACATTTCTTGTGACCTGCTCTTAGAAGAAAAACATAGAATAAAAAACACATAACTATTTCAAATCTTCCAATCTTGGAACCTTGGAAAAGGAATATGCATATACCACTTTCTCCCAACTGTTTTCTCCCAGAAAGCTAAGACATAATTTTAAAAGTTTTACTGGGTTTTTTTTTTTTATGTAGACGTAATTCACGTAACATAAAATTCATCCTCTTAAAATGTACAGCTCTGTTGTTTTTAACTTTAAGATACAAAATTCCTCCAGTGAATACAGTACGAATGATACTGGGAGAACTTAATAACAGCATAGACAAAATGGAATAGAGAACAAAGGCTCCAAGGCTGAAGGGAAACAAAGGGGAGCATGAGGGAAAAGACTAACCTATATGGCTTAGGGCCCAATGAAAAAGCTTATAAAGCAAAAGAAAAGAAAGCAGAGAAACCTGAAAGGCCCTGCCAATTTATGTATTAAACCAAAGCCCAAGTTAATGAGCCTGAAAATACTTATAACCCATCTTGACTGTTTAGTGTATTTCTTAAAATTATCCATACATAATAATAAAGTTGTGTATTTGGACTGCCTGCATATGACTACAAAGAAAAAGACAAAAATAACAATAATAATAGCTAACATTATTGGGCACTGGATGAAATACTTACGTTCACTTATTTCAATAATTTTTACATATATATTACTTCACAACTTTACAGATAAAGGAAGTTACTTTTGTCACAGAATATTAATGGTTAATATTAATAGTTAACTAAAATTACCCCTTATTTACATTTTTTGCCTTATTACATTACATTGCCTCTTTACAAAGATGAAACATAACTTGACTTATGAACTACAACTGAAAACACCTCATCAAACTCAAAACATCTGTCCCCTTGACATCAACACAGATGGAGCTATGAAAAGTTAATCATTTCAAATTTTAGTATGCACAAAGAAACACAATGAAACGAAACAAAGAACTGCCTCTACGATACAGAGTACTTTTTACTTCTAATCAGACCAAAGGGGAACTAGGATTACCTTGACACAAGTCCTCATCCTCTTCTTCATGTTGGTAAGTCTGTTCTTGAATAGGATTCTTCCTATAAATCCGTCCACCAATTCTTAAAAGCTGCGGGCGCAGAACTTCCATGATACTTTCCCAAACAATATTCCAGTGAAATCCTGAAAAAACAAGTGATCACCTTACCATCTGATCAGAAAGAAAAACCTAACCTGGCTCCTGTGGCTCACTGGAATGAGGGCTGGCCTGGGAGCTGGAGGGTCGGCAGTTCGATTCCCAGTCAGAGCACATGCCTGGGTTGCAATTCAGGTCCCCAGCTGGGGACGTGTCAGATGCAACCAATCCAACACTCTCCTTCTCTCCCCCGCCCCTTCCCCTCTCTAAAAAATAAATAAAATCTTTAAAAAAGAGAAAGAAAAACCCTATCCCTATTTCCCTAGTATATGGATCGTTGTGTTGGCCTGAAAGGACAATTGGGCATCAGCTCACAGTACATCCTAAGCAAAAGCAGCTCTATTTCCTTTAGACAAATAGGGAGGCCCTATTTGCAACCTGCTTTAAGTCAATTGGCATCTTTTCCATTACATATTTCATTCCTGACGCATGCTAGACAGTAATTTGTAAACTATTCAGCACTCAAAAAACAGATGATTAAAAGATTCTGAGCCCTTTATATACAGCCTGTCCATGGTTTTGAAACAAAGAATAGAGGTGTGTTCATTACTTTAACCTAAAAGAAGTAAAATGCAACCTTCTGTGTTACACCATTTGCAAAGTGTTTCAACCCTGTCTACACAGCATGAAATTGAAGAAAATTAGAGATATTAATGCACTTATCCTTGGGGGGTGGGGAAGCCCCTAGTACTTTCAGAAGTACATGTAATATACAACCAAGAATTAGATCCAGTTGCCTATGAAAACACTTAAAACATAACCTAATCAACATGGTTCTTCAAACCAACACATTGCTGAGGGGAGGAATTCAATTTCCATAGACCACTGCCCAAAAAACTGTATGCCACTTACTAAGAAGCCAAGCTTCCATTCACAACTTAAGGAAGGAATAATTCAGGAAACAAGGGTTGCTTATGGGCTGTGTTTCAGTTCAACCAATGTCCCACCGCATAGGTTGGATAGTCTTGAAGCCCAAAATACAGAGTTCCAAAGAAAACAGATCAATCCTTAACAAATACACTAATAATCCAAACCTCAGCAAGTAAGTCACTTTAATTGGTAGATTGCTTACGGAACTAAGGAGAGATTTGTGTTGTGAGAAATAACAACATATTAGGAAAACAGACTTGAATGGAGAAGAGGGCACATGATTAGCAATAGTTTAATGATACCCATCCTACTATTATTTCCCTGAGACTTCTAAAAAAAGAAAGAAAGAAGGTTCTCCACAGAAGATTTTGACGTCATAGGCCCTCAGACAAAGAGTTCGGGAAGAAGAGAGAGTTACCTTAGAAACAACCCTCTTCATCTGCCCTCCCTCCGGCCCTGAGCTACGAAACTGCTCAGAAAGAAAGGGGAATACCCAATTTAACCCTGCTACGGGGTGGTTTGGAGAGGGAGAAGAAAGCTGAAGCCCTGAATCATAAAAGCGAACAAAAAAGACGAGTACTCCGACGTAACCGAAGAGAACTCTGCTGCTGCAAGTAAACCGCAGTACAGAGACGACAGAAAGGACCCGGAAGTCCTCTCCGGAAGCGCGTTCTCCGCGCCTCTCCGCCCCGGCCACGCCCACCATTGTACGGGCACGAGCACGCCGCCGTTCTCTTCGCAGTCTGCGCGGCCGCTTCAGGCTGGCCCTGGGGGCGGGGCTGTAGGGGAAAGAGCCAAAACCGTTGAGGTAAGTCGTCGAGGGCTCAAGGACTCTCAAGAGCTTGGTGGAAAGGGAGTTCATTCTTGGGATCCTACCTGCAAACACTAGGAAAGCGGAGAAGCAGGGAGAAACAGGAGCTTGCCACAAAGGGCGTGTAAGAGGAAATTTCCGGGCCGCGACTGGTTGGGTGCGCCTGCGCTCCTAGCGGTGGCGCATGCGCGGTGGTCCTTTGGGAGCCGAAATGGGAGTGGGGGATGTGAGGTTTGGAATTAGCTCGAGAACCTCTTGGCGTTCTGACGCTTCCTATCTCCAGTACCCCTGGTTTTAGCTGAAGCATCTGTTTTAATGGTAATCCAGCTATTTACGTGGGACATAGCGGAACGATTTGTTGATGGAATTTAATGATGCTTACAATAATTTGCCATTGTACCACCGTACCTCTTTCAGCGTCTTTTGATCGAGACTTTTTCAAAAGGAAGGAATCTTTTTAAACAGAATAGGCATATATCTGCTGGGAAGGAAAGTAGTTTATGAATACGAAGTGGTCCCTGTAGTGTGTAAAGTAAATGTTTAATCATCTTAGTGTGAACAAGGCATTCTGTGTTCCCCACAAAGAGCATTGCTCTCCTACGAGAATCTCTATTGCCAATAGTCCCAGCTACCCTGGTAAGGCCAAACCCCAGATTACTTCATCGATATTCATTTGACAAAATATTACTGAGCCACCCACTTGGGCGTGGCAGCCTAGCGGAAGGGGTTGTGTAAGTAGATATGAAGGAGGAGGCAGAAAAGACAGCAGTAATGAACCAAACCTCTTGACACCAAGCTTCTCTGTCACCTGCATAACCTTTGCTGGACTGCTAGCCCTGTGTTCTCTCATTTATTCATCATTAATGCAGGAAGCGTTGTGGTCCAGGTGCTGTGCTGGGTGTTATTTTCCATTACAGCTGACATAATTTCTACTTGGCTGTCTTGACCGGCACTCTGTGCTGTGGCATGCAGGTAGAAAGACAACTCCCTCCCCCTTTCCTAGATTACAGGATTTTTCCTAAAATCATGAACCTTAAAATGAAGATGTGAAGTGCACTAATGGAGGGCATTTTTCCTCTTCCTGAGCAGACCCTTTCCCCTGTAGGAGCTTGCTGACTCATTGTCAAATGGAGAGAATTAAAACTTTTCCCATGAGTATATTAGGACATAATACATATGAAAAAGGGATCTGCATAGGAAAAAAAGATTCAAGAGTAAATATCCATTTGTGATTTGGGATAGTTAATAATATTAAGTATTTACCGTGCCTGTAACTGTTCCAAATGCTTTAGTTATATAAACCTTCATAACAGCTATGAGATAGGTACTACTATTGTCCCCATTTTAACAATGAGGCAGCTGAGGAACAGAGAGGTTAAGTGATTTGTCCAGAGAGTCATCCAGCAAAAACTGGGACATGAACGCAGGCCTGGGGCTTCAGAGTCTGAGCTCTTAACTGCTATTTCACCCTCACATGGTACATGACATGCCAACAAAGCCATTGCTTGAAAAGTGTCTTAGCAAATAAGCTAAAGTCTCTATGCCCCAGTTTTGTTTTGTCATCTATAAAATGAGGGAGTTGGATTAAATGATTTTTCAGGAATCTTATGATTCCTGGGAAATGTTTACTTCATGTAGTAAAACATTTATCTAAATCAACAGCTCCTTAGTATAGGCATTGTTTGGTTCTTGTGATCAGAATGCCCGCCTTTGTACAGCAGTTACAAACTAGGGTTTATCCTTTAACTCCTATTACCACCTGCTGATAGCATTCAGAATTCAACCTAAATCTTTAAAGTTTGAAATTACTAAGGTATGTCTGTCCACCTCAGCAAAAAAATTGCTTATTCATGTTAAAGTTAGCTTTGTGCTAATTCTGCCCTCCAGTTTTCAACCCTGGCTCTTTTGTGTATAGAATGATAGTAGTTCTGAATTTGGGGGGAAAAAATAGAATAACAGGGAATTTCTTTGAATATAGTCGGTTTAGAAGTCACACTGTGTCTAGCCTTTGAAGCTGTCCTCACTCTGGCAGTCAGCTTGAGTGCTCTGCTGAGCAACTTGACTTCAAAATAAAAAGCGTCGCTTACATTTGCAACTGAATAAACCATATATCAAGGTGTAGGAAAAAGATTAGAGTTAAAGTCTTAGGTGAGATATATAAAAAGTTCACAGTGGGTTCTATTCTGAACTCATGGGAACTAAGACTGAGCTGCTCTCCAAAAGATAACTAAGTCATCTATATACTTTATTTAGATCCCAGTAGGAATCCACTTAGAAATTTGGACGGGGTCTGTTGCTGCTTAAGTTCTTTTTAAAGAGAATTTTAAAACTTGTTAAGCTATATTTTGAGCCAGTGTGGTCCAAAAGACTGGATATGAATCTGACTTCAAAAGGTGTTGCCTCTATGAATACGAATACAATTTGGGAAGTTACAGATAACTCAGAGGAAAAAAGGAAAGGTGATCTAATACAAGATTGAAAATGTCACCCTGGCTGGTGTGGTTCAGTTGGAGCGTCGTCCCATAAACTGAAATGTCATGGGTTCCATCCCAGTCAGGGCACATACCTAGGTTGCTGGTTCTATCCCTCCAGGTACTTTATAGGGGCAGCCAGTCAGATTGATGTTTCTCTCTCCCTTCAGTGTTTCTGTCCCTCTCTCTCCCTTCCTTCCCCTCTCTCTAAAATCAATGAGCATGTCCTCTAGTGAGGATTAAAATTTTTTTTAAAAGATTGAAAATGTCATTAATCAGTTTGCATTTTAAAATAGGCTGCCATTCACCCTGGCTGGTGTGGCTCAGTGGATTGAGTGCCGACCTGTGAACCAAAGGGTCACTGGTTCAATTCCCAGTCTAGTGCACTTGCCTGGGTTGTGGGCCAGGTCTCCAGTTGGGGCGGGGCGTGGGGTATGAGAGGCAACCACACATTGATGTTTCTCCCTCTCTTTCTCCCTCCCTCCCCCTCCCTCTCTAAAAATAAATAAATAAAATCTTTTAAAAAATAGGCTGACATTCTAATTATAGCAGTTGCCTTACTCTTCCCATATCCCACTGCAGTATTAATCAGAATTACTTAAAGACACATAATGAAATCAGAAACTAGGGTCTGCTTCCTTCACAATCTTAAATCATCATCACAAAATTAAGGAAACAGAATGGCCAGATTTTTGAAATGCACAGTGTATTATTTCCCTTGTTAGGAAACTGGATTATGCATATACCTCGTATAGGATTTATATCTGCATAGCTTTTCCTCGTTTTTTTCTAGTTTTTAAAAAATAAGTTTCAGGGAGGTGGAAGCAGGCAAACGAGATAAATGGTGGCAGAAAGAATTGACTTTGGGTGGTGAGTGCATGATTCAGATGCAGATGATGTGTTATAGAATTGTACACTAGAAACTGTATGGTTTTATTAACCAATGTCACCCCAATAAATTCAGTAAAAATAAAAAAGTTTAAACTTTCTATAACAAACATACATTTGCAACTAGCAAAATTAAAAGTAAAGCTGAAATTCTCTCTGGCCATTAAAAAGGGGAATTCATTTTAAAAATCCGTTTAAAGCCATTTTTATCTTTTTTTAATTGAGCTAAAATTCACATAACATATATTAACCATTAGCCATTTTAAAGTGTACAATTCAGTTTAAAGTTAGTTTTTAGTCTAAATACTAGCGTTACACTTTCCAATACAGTAACCACTAGGCACATTATGGGTATTTGAATTTCAATTAACATTAAATAAAATTTAAAGTACAGTTCTTCAGTCACACTAGTTTAATAAGCCACGCTAGTTTAATAAGCCACATGAGGCTACCGTGTTGGACAGGCAGAAATAGAACATTAGAACACTGCTATAATCGCAGAAAGTTCTGTTAGCACAGTACAGGACAATTTTTTTTTAAGAAAACATACTTTTTAGAATCTTTTGTAAATGTATAGTGTAAGCTTCTACAGCGGTGGTAGTTTTTTTTTTTTAACTTTTGCAAGGAGTCATGTATTCTGTATAAATTTTTTCATCAACATTTGGACTTTTTAACTTTTTATATGATACGAGATGAAACACTACAGTTGCTCTAATCCTAATAGGGCATGATTCTGAAATAATTCCCTATTTTGTTCCAGTCTTAGAACGCCACCAAGTGACCAATTCATGTATTACATTTAGATGGACCAGTTTTTGTTTTTTTAATTTAAATAAAAGGGCCAATATGTATTTCCTAACCACTTCCCCTTCCTTGGGAACAGAACACAGTGTTATTCTGGAATTTTATTTGTAAAATTTTATAAGTGAATTTTTGCTGTGGCTTGGTCAGGATGTATTCAAGACACTGTCCTATAAGGCACAGTTGTCATATCCTCATAATTTATTTACTCAGTCAAATTGCTACCTTGGCACAACCCTGTCACCCCTTCATAATCTATAAATCACCCACAGTCAGTCCCAAGCAACATAAACAGTTTACTAATGGTAGGAAGTAGTGTTTTAAGTAGAAAAACTAAGAATAAACATATCTTCATTTAAAATCCTGTGACATTTTGACCTGGGGCATCAATAAAAGATTGTGGGACTAGAGAGGGTAGAAAACAGGGGCCCTGACAAGTGTAGCTAAGTTGGTTGGGTGTCATTCCACAAAGCAAAAGGGCGCTGGTTTGATTCCCATTCAGGGCACATACCTAGGTTAAACATTTGATCCCCAGTCAGGGCGTGTACAGGAGGCAAGCAGTCGATGTTTCTCTCTCTCTCTTGCTTCCTCTTTCTTCCTCTCTTCCCCTCTCTCTAAAAATAAGTAAATAAAATCTTACAAAAAGGAGGGGGAAGCTAATTCTTTACTAAACATGCTAGCTTTTATGGCAGCTTGAATGAAATGTAGTTAGTCTTGCTCCCATACACTTGCCAAATTGCTCTTTTTCTATCTCTGCAGTGAAGTGAGAATTCTACTAGAAAGGAAATGGCTGCTTCTTCATCGTCCTCCTCAGCTGGCGGGGTCAGTGGAAGTTCTGTCACTGGATCTGGTTTCAGTGTCTCTGACCTTGCCCCACCTCGGAAAGCCCTTTTCACCTACCCCAAAGGAGCTGGGGAGATGTTAGAAGGTGATCTTATGCTGTTTTTTGCTGATAATTGGATTCAGACCTGCCATGAATGTTAATTGTAAAGATGCTATTAAGTGAATTAGAGAAGAATTTGCCCTGATTTCAGCTCCTCACTTCATCTTTTGCCCCCATTTCAAAATAATATCTTTAAAACACAAATCTCCAGAATCAGGACTTTGGAGCTGAAAAAACTTTGGAAATCAAGGAGGTCATCTAGAGTTTATGTAGACGCAGAAAAGGTAAAGTGATTTAACCATGCTAAAGACATTCTGCACTGGAACCAGGAATTTTGACCTCTTGCTTCAGGTTCCTTTATCCTGGCACCAGCCTGTCTCCCTATGATGAGTAGGTTTGATGTATTTTGTCTTATGTAGTCAATCAACAGATAAATTAACCCCATAAAAGAGATTCTGAGAGGAAATAAAAACTAATGTACTACTTTTATAGGTGAAGATGATTATGCTGGCCCACTGCAGGACAGTGCTATATAGTGTGTCTAGTACTAGAGCTGGACTTCACATCATACTACCTACCATCTTATTCAGCACACATTTGCACACTGGGCAACATCAGGACAGAAGCTGTAAGCGTGGACTGGCAGTGGTACCTCGAATTTATCAGATTCATGTCACTTTAGGAGCTACCTCAATAAATTCTCAATGGGAGCATAAAAATAACCTGAAGAGCTTATTTAAATCCACATTTCTGGCCCACCTTAGGGATTCTGATTATTCTAGGGTGCAGCACAGAAATCTTCATTTTGACTAATACCCAGGGGAGTCTAATGAAAATGGTCCTTAACTATTAAACTATCATACTTTGAAAAAGGTCATCAAAGAACCTATTAAGAATTCAAAACCTGCGTGATTATAGCACTTTTGTGCTTAATTATACATTCATCTTTTTTGCTTTAAATATTGGAAATTTCAGTAAGTATGTCTCTGAGAAAGCTACAAAGTAGTTAGGATTTGACTTGTGGGGGTCATCTTCATTCATTTATATCAGGTATAATGAAAAGCAGAGTTTTGGGTTAAGCCAGGGAAAGTAGAGGAATCATTTTGAGAGGAAAATATGGAAAGACTGAGACCATAAGGCTTTCTAGAATTAGCTCAAATCATGATTAGTGAAATAGATGACAGAATAACATGGTAATGCATCCAAAGTGTCTGTACTTCTGTCTTTGCTGTTTTCTTTAGTTGTGTTATATTCAACTTAGTGTCACTGAGTCTGGAGGTAAGAACTGGGGCCTTGCTCACCATATTTGGCACTAAAAGTATATTATGACTTCAATTATATGTAGCACAGACCTGGTATTAAGGAAATTTCCCACAAAATAAATAAAAAATTGGAGGTATTTAAATTGCTTAATGAACAATAACAACAAAAAGAATAAATTGCTTAATGAGTTTTATAGCAGCAGAAGAGGAGTCAATGTTTAACAATGGGCTCTAAGATTGAAGTCATTTAAATTCTAGCTACAGGAGGAAATTTAATACTGGAGATACCTCCTTAGTCTCAAAGCTATTAACATTCTTTGTCAGTATACATCAGATTACTTAGAAACATTAAAAAGAAGAAAGACTTCTGAGATTAGTCTAAAAGTCCGTTTTTATTCCATCTCAATGTGCTTCATGGAGGAATGTGTTGTTTATGAAGTTTATGTGTTGGCTTTCTAGTGTAGGATGAATTTATATTTTTTAAATTCACAGTGTACAGTCTTGATTCTCTTTCTTAATTTTAAAGTTTTACCCGTATTTTAAAGTTGCTTACACTTGACAGAAATGACAAATTAGGGAGGGCAGTTCCTAAACTATTCTGGTCAAATCAAGATCATTAAATTGAAAAGAGTACTCCTAAATGTGAATTAATAAGGATGTTAGATTTGAAAACCATAGTCTACCATGCTTATTATGCAGTTAATATACCAGGTACCTAACCTTTTTTTTTCTTGCATAGTTTAATTGAATATGAAAATAGAGTAGAAAGACTTGCCTGTTCAAAGGAACAAAAATGATCAGGAATCAAGGTTGGATGTGGTTTATAATTTTAACAGATTCAGCTTGATCTTGTGTCCTCCTAAATCTAGGCTAATAAACCCAAATAACCTGTAGTTAACTTTATGAATTAACTTTTTTCTGCACTACCAACTCTCTGACAACAGACACCTCACATACACAGTATACTACAGTTTTCAGCATTCTCTTGCCCTTGACTTAAGATTGTCCTCACCCAATTATTAATAGTCAGCAAATTAGACACTGCCTTCCAGCCCAGAAGTGGCTGAATTTTAGTGACATTGTAGGCCACTGAAGTATAAATTATCTGATATTCTCTAATTTCATTGTGAAGTAATTATTCTTTTAAATGAATTTGTTAGCATCCTATTTATTGGAGTTGCAATGGCATTAGATTAGGACAATTTACTGAACTTTTCACTATTTGTAACTTTTGATTGTCCCTTGAAGAGGAGAGCTGATGTATTGTTACTTGGTGTGTTATAAAGGGTTTGATTACAATTTCCAAATGGAAGACAGATTGCCCCAGGCTGACTCCTCTCTGGGGAAATTCCAGGCTTTAGATCAGTACAGATATCACATTTAATAGGATGTGGCTAAGAAGCAGTGTACTTTGTGGTTAATACAGAGCTGCAAATCAGCAGAAGTATATTTCATAGGCATATAGGGTGGCAAAAGCTTATAGAAAGGCATATAGAGTGCCATTTTGAAAGATTAGCTTACATCCTTTTGCTTTGATTACCAAGGGAAATATGCAAGTGTTATAATTGAAGCATTTTATCCTAATAGCACCAGTGATTAAATGTAAGTAGAAGGTAGCACTGCCAAGAGCTTCCAGATGCATCTCAGCCTGATTCTTATGGCCATAATATCCCCACTGCCTTGTTTGAGATCCTAAAGTTTAGGACATTTCAGGATCAAATCAGCTGAGAAGTGAGCTCTAATTCTCTGTGCTTTTCTCTTTCTAAAATTACAGTTATGATTTGACTCTTTAAGCAAGGATATATATAGAATAATGAACACTGGTGTATCTACATAGAAGAGCCATAATAAATTGCATCATCAGTGTCAAATAGTCACACGTTTTCTCGTGCTGCACCGGAATTCACCATTACTTGCAGCCCGATTATCTAAAAATCTCAGTGATATCATTAACTTACCTAGATTTTTAAACTGTATAGTCAGTATAATATTCAGTTAACTGAAAATAATTTCTTGCACAGTATAGATGATATACTCACAGATGACTTAACATTCAGCCAGAGGAATGGGATTCCTCTGGGAGAAGATAGGATCATATACCATACAGCACAATATGTAGAGAAGAGGCTGAATTTTTTTGTTATTATAGTTTATTGATTATGCTGTTACAGTGGTCCCAATTTTTCCCCCCTTTTACCCCCTCTGCTGGTAACCCCCTTCCCTCCAGCAGCCCCCCCCCCACTTTAGTTCATGTCCATGGGTCGTGCATATAAGTTCTTTGGCTTCTCCACTTCCTACACTATTCTTTTTTTTTTAATTAATTTATTTATTTAGAGAAGGGAAGGAGGGAGGGAAAGAAACATCAGTGTGTGGCTGCTTCTTGAGCACCCCCTACTGGGGACCTGTCCCGCAACCCAGGCATGTGCCCTGACTGGGAATTGAACTAGTGACCCTTTGGTTCACAAGCCCACACTCAATCCACTCAGCTACACATGCTAGGGCTTCCCATACTATTCTTAACATCCCTGTCTATTTTGTATACTTCTTAATACCTGCACCTTCCCCCCTCTCAGCTGATAACTCTCCAAATGATCTCCGTATCTATGATTCTGTTCCTGTTATGGTTGTTTGCTTAGTTTGTTTTTGTTTTTTAGATTCAATTGTTGATAGTTGTGAGTTATCATTTTAATATTCATAGTTTTGATCTTTTTCTTAAATAAGTCTCATTAACATTTCATGAATAATGGCTTGGTAGTGATGAACTCCTTTAGTTTTTCCTTGTCTGAGAAGCACTTTATCTGCTTTCCATTCTAAATGATAGCCTTGCTGAATAATCATGGTGGTAGGTCCTTGCTTTTCATCACTTTGAATACTTCTTGCCAGTCCCTTCTTGCCTGCAGTTTCTTTTGAGAAATTAGCCAATAATCTTATGGGAACTCCTTTGTAGGTAACTTTGCTTTCCTCTTGCTGTTGTTAGGATTCTCTCCTTATCTTTAGCCTTTGGCATTTAATTATGATGTATCTTGGTGTGGTCCTCTTTGGGTCCAACTTGTTTGGGACTCTGTGGGTTTCCTGGACTTGTACGCCTATTCCTTTGCCATTAGGGAAGTTTTGTTTCATTATTTTTCCAAATAAATTTTCAATTTCTTGCTCTTCTTCTGGCATCCCTGTGATTCAGATGTTGGTACATTTAAAGTTGTCCCAGAGGTTCCTAAGCTTCTCCTTTTTTTTTTTTTTTTTTTTTCCCCCTAATTCTTGTGTCTTCTTTCAGTTCTGGTTGAATGTTTATTTCTTTCTTTTGTTCCAAATCATTGATTTGAATCCCGGCTTCCTTCCCTTCATTGTTCCCTGTATATTTTTCTTTACTTAACTTAGTGTATCCTTCATTTCTTCCTTTATTTTTTGGTATATTCAATGAGTTCTCTGAGCATCCTTATCACCAGTGTTTTGAACTCTGCATCTAATAGGTTGGCTATCTCTAGTATGCTTAGTTCTTTTTCTTGGGTTTTGTTCTGTTCTTTCATTTGGGCCAAATATCTTTGCCTCCTTAATTTGGTGGCCTCCATGTGTTTGATTCTGTGTACTAGGTAGAGCTGCTTTACTTCTTCTATGTAGGATGGCCTATGTAGAAATGGCAAATGTAAATTGTGTGGGGCGGAGCCTTAGTTATTTGCCAGGGCAGGGCAACCACTTCACTGCTTTGTGGCTCTGTTGGGGAGAGGGGCTTAGAGGAGGGTCACTGCTGCTGCCTGGCTTCTGGAGGCCTGCTGGGCACTCACCCTGCTTCCAGTCACCTCACCCACCTCTTGCATGCAATTGGTGCCCTTCCAGCTGCTGCTGTGGGGTTTGTGTACATTCTAAGCCTGCACAGGCCCTTGGAACGGCGAAAACCTGGCAGTTTCTTCTACCGCCCCAACCCCCACTGGTTTTTCAGCCAGAGCTAATGGGGTTTATCTTCCTGGTGCTGGAACTCTGGGCTGTGTATTCTGGTTTGGGCTGGGCTCGCTTGCTCCTGAGGTATCCCTCCCGATTTATCCACCACACGGGGATGTTGGACCACCCTCTTCACTGCCACTGCCACCTCTCCACAGGGGACGGCATCATCTCTGCCCCAGCTCCACAACTCGGCCCCTCCTAGCTGTCTGGATGAATGTGGCTTCTTTAAATCCTTGTTGTCAGACTTCCATACAGCTTGATTTTCTGATGGTTCCGGGTGTATTTGTTTTTGAGATCAGGTTGTAATTCTTTCTACAGTTGTGAGAGGAGATGAGGCATGTGTACCTGCCTCCATCTTGACTGGAAATCTGGAAATTCTTCCTCCTCTTTGATTCTCATTTGTGTGGATGATGTCATTTACCCACAAGAAAAGGAGATTTCTCTCTCCCTTCTTGCTGTCTCCTTTGTTAATGCTGTTTGCACATTTGTGAGAGGCACGCCATCTATGAGGAAACAAGGATGGAATTGTCTGGGTCTTGGTTCTGCCTTCACTTTAAATCATACCCACAGAGGTGAGAACAGAATCCATTCCAGAGGTGATGAGAGGCTGAAAAGAGGCTGAATTTAATAAATTTAACACTCTCCCTAAAATACACATCACTTTATGAAATAAGTTATATTTTGAAATAATACCTAATATATATGAAAATAACTGTATTTTCCACTTTTGCATCAATTTTGGAGATAATATTGTTCAAAAGAAGCCCTCTTGGTTATATATTTAAGCCATCTGGACACTATCTGTTTTTTCTTATTGTTTACCATGACTTCTGAAATTAGATCTGCCTTGTGTGAAACTCAGCATGGAGCCAGAATGTGTCAGTCCTAACTCCTTGTCACTTAATACCTGACTGACACAACAACCCATGACTGATGGGTGAGTGCTTGACACCCAGTAGTGCTGGCATGAAATGCCATCAAAAAAAAAAAAAAACAGCTGTGTTCTCTTCCCTCCATTTGTTTTAGGATTTTCGCAATAAAATACCTTCTCCAAATGGTTTGAGCTACCCTTCTAAAAGTCACATTTTCCAACATGAACTGTTTGTCTTTTGGGGTATGTTTTGCTGCATCAGCCCTTGCTGACAAGGGATAACATGAACTTGCTTATATTTCACAATCATCTTCCAAATGCCGTGGTGACTGAGTTAGCTACCTTCTCGTTGCCAGTTCTTGGCACCAGTACAATGCTAGGTTCTGAAATTGCACTGTACTCTTATCGCCATCCAAATGGCAGTGTTTTGGTTCAGTTGGAAAATCAAGGTTACAATTTGCGTTAACAGAATGAAATTTCCCAGGAGTGTTTTGTCATGGTCATAGTGATGTAATTTGATATACTAAAAATCAACAACAGCAATTTTTCCATCAGCTTTACGATTTAGAATGAAAATGCTTTAGAGTTTTGGTGTACCTTTGTATTTTGATAGCACAGCGGTCATATGGCCAAATGTGTTGACTGTCAGTGCTGGCCTGGCAAACGGAACTGGAGAATGTTAAGACATTATCAAAGCCCTGACCAGGTAGCTCAGTTGGTTAGAGCGTCATCCTGATAAACCAAGGTTGCAGATTCAATCCCCGGTCAGGGTACATACAAGAAACAACCAATGAATGCGTAAATATGTGGAAAAACAAATTGATGTGTTCTTTTTCTCCCCCCCCCCCACCACCCCCTGACTCTGCCTTCCTCTGAAACCAATAAATAAAAAGTTTTAAAGAACTATTGGGTTTGGGAGTAGGAGTAAGTGTTGACCAGGACATCAGACTGAGGTTTCTTGTTTGTTTTTTTAAACACTATTTTTAAATTCTTAAACAACTAGAGGAATTATATCAATACTCTAGGTATAGAAAAAGTAGTTTTTATAACAGACCAGTGTTCGTTCTAAATGAAACAGAAGCCCTTTTTGGAAACACTGAAAAGTAGACCCTGAATGTAAAAGCAGGGAAAAGAATGGACATGTTTTCTAGGTTTACAGGAATCCTAAAACCCTTAGAGCAGATTAAAACTTGTTCTCTTTTGTTCATAGATGGCTCTGAGAGATTCCTCTGTGAATCTGTTTTCAGCTATCAAGTGGCATCTACGCTCAAACAGGTGAAACATGGTAGGTACATGAGTGCTGTGTACTTAACTACAAGAACAAATTTATTGGGCAGGGGGTGGTGCAGGTAAAGGGAGCTTCAGAAAGGTCAGCATGCTTTGTGACAGACTCCTGAAATTCAGCAAGGCTGGTTAAGTGGACTTGCTGAATGACCTGCAGACGAGGACATTCTAAATCCTTAATACAAACATAATGTCCTCATTAAGGCTTACAGTTGAAGTCAAAAGGGTTAGTGTTCTAGGGGAAATACTTCCTACTTTTGTGGTGTCTTTCTCCTCCTTTCTGAAACTTTCTTTTGCCATTATTCTCCACTGGTTATCATCATCGTCTTCAAGTATGTATGTAACACCTCATGATTCACCTGGACTCTTAAGATCCTGGTACCACCTTTTCTGTTCCATCATGGCTTACCAGGCCTTCATTTATTGATCAGGGAACTATGTTTCCCCGCCAGACCATTTCACCATTGAAGTCATAATGTCAGAAGAGCTGCAATTGCCTGTAACCCTATGATTTTAGTACACATCACTGTGGCATGGAGAATGAGTACTACTTTAAAAAAAAAAAAAGAAAAAGGTCTTCTGACCAATATAAAATAAGACCCCATTACTAGAATATTGAGGGGAAAAAACTCCTTGCAGAAATTACTTTTAAACCAATTATCATGTTGGTAGTTGGTGACTGTCTCATGGAAAATACATTCATTATATTACCTCCTTGACTCTACAGATCAGCAAGTTGCTCGGATGGAAAAACTAGCTGGTTTGGTAGAAGAGCTGGAGGCAGATGAGTGGCGGTTTAAACCCATCGAGCAGCTGCTGGGGTTCACACCCTCTTCAGGTTGACCGTGCCTGGATGGTAACCTCTGGTGCGTACAGCAAGTGCAGGGCCAGCGAGGGACTTTTCTTACAGTTTACATAGCCGTCCAGAGACTCACAGCTCCATCGCTGAACTGTTCATTCACATCAGTACTTGGTTTCTCTGTATCTATCCACAAGCAACAAACATTTAAATGTGTGATCATGCAGGGAAATTTTCTTTTTGTTTGAAAAAAGCATTGAGAATTAGTTTGAGACAGTTGGCATAAGTGAACCAGGAGGTTTGGGTTTAAGAGATTCATAAAACTTCACAAGCCAGATCGGGCACATGCCAGGATTGGCCAACTGAATGGCTTCTGGCATTCATGCAGTGCATAGAATCCCCACCAGTCAAGTCCAGGTCAGGACCTGGAATTATAAAATACAGTATTTCTGACCTAAAATGTTCTTTTTTGCAGATGAATGTGATTTCAACTCAGGACCTGTCTAAATGAGGAATTTTTAAATGATTGGGGTTTTTTCTATTTTTAGACACCTAATTCTATAGATTCTAACTTTTTCTAACCTTCTAGACATGCCAATGCTGGCAAAAAGAATTGTTTTTTGAATGTTGAAGCGCTTGTAAGAATAAAGCAGTGAGCAAAATCCTTTAGACACAGAAATCCTGAGTTCCTCCTGTTGATGGGCTCAAGCAATTCTGTAGCAAATAAATCCTTTGAAAGAGCCCCAAATTTGTTTCTTTATCTTCTCAAAGTCTCAGGGATTTGGGATAGGGGGAAGAGGTCAGATTATTTTTTATAAGAAGAAAATCTGAAAACCCTTTCTCCTAAATGAATGGTAGATTTGCTTTACCTCGGGAATATTTCTCTTACCAGTATTGGAGTAGGTTTTTATATCATGGTAGGGAAAAAACTTGGAAAGCTAAAAGGTATCCTTTGCTCTCCCTCATGGAACCCAGGGTCCACAGTGACAGAAGAATCATATTTATTAGATTTTATGCAAATTTTGCCTCAGAAACATTCGCCTTTCTCCTCATTAATAGTTTTTACTTGACCTGCTTAGAGTTGCTTCTTCATGAATAAATATAATCTCAGTAGCAGCTGGGCTTAATCTCAGGAGTTCAAAGCGTTTAACACATACTACCTGACAGGGAAGTGGTGACCTCACTGAATCGGTGAGGAGTCTGAGCACAGAGATGTTACAGACCTGCTCATGGTCACATAGCCCAGGCAGAAGAAAACCCTGGAACCTGGAATAGGTCAGTTGATTGATAATTCAGCCCACTACTCTTGCCTTTAAAGCACATCAGTGCACAAAAACCACTAGCCCACAAACTCATCTGTTTCCAAAATAACACTCCTTAACCCCCACACAAGTTCAATATTTAAAAACCAAACAGTTTCCTAACATGTTTTTTAGCATCAACCTTGTGGATTATTATCAAAGAAAAAAATAAAAATATGTAGACTACAATGAACCTTTATAACTCATACTTTCAGTAATATTTTAGAAGCAATCACTAATTTTCTCTCATTGGTTTCATTAACTGTACAACAGACACTGTATCTGCTCATCTTCACCCTTTGGTAGTTAAACTTGCAGAAAAATTTTTTTCTCTTTAAATAGGACATTTCTTTTTGTGACCTCAAAAATTGAAGCGACCTTAGGGTTGAACGGAAATGCTTTCTAAAGCGCCTTTCACAGTGATCATTCGGCTGCTACTGAGTGCTGCCAGGAAAAAGACCCTCACTATTTTTGAAGACTCTCCCTCCATCCCCACACTTTTAGGCTGGTTATGTTTCATCTGCAACTCCTGTTACCATGTTCGGAGCCTGGAGATGGAGCTTCTTGCTCATCTGTCTTCTCTGCACTCATTAAGTGCCAGTCACTCCCAGACATTAATTATAATTGTTTCAATTAAACTGGAACTTGAAGCTCAGAGCGAGCACTACTTGCCAAGGCTGCATAGCCAAGTGAATGGCCAAGTCTGGATGTGAACCCAAAGTCTGCCAGACTCCAAAGCTGAGATTATTTTAGTTGCATGATGCTGCATCCCACTGAGCCCATCCCAGTGCCTTATACAAAGACAAAAGCCTAAAACTTTTTTTATGATAAAATTAATTAACTACCTGGAGGAAATAAGTGTTGCCCAGTACTTGGTGATAAGGGATCTCAAACACAATGAAGGAACAGCCTCTTCCTTTAAGAACTGATAGGAATTAGCTGTATGTTTGTGCCTATATAGCCTTTTAAGATCCAGTAGGGTGAAATGTAGTTAGGTCCTTGAGGGACACCTAAGTGAGCAAGGAGGAAGGCAAGAGGGCAGGTGGCAGCTACTGGCCAGGACTGCAGACAGCCATCCTGGAGAGCTGACCGCAATGGTACTTCTGTGCATAAGGCACTCGGCAGTTTCCAAAGCACCTTCACATGTGTAGTGTCTTGACTCACATCAACTCTGCAAGATAAATGAGGCAATTTTATTTTACATTTGAGGAAACAAGCATAGAGAAGGTAAGGTACCATGATTATAGTTAAGCAAGGGGGCTGGGTCTTTCACAGCTTTTTCTCTATGCCTTCTAGTTCATCACATGCTAGAAAATTTGAAGGCAATATTTGCTGTTAATAAAGAATTAGTCATGTCAATCTGATATATAATTAGAAATAATGTCACATGGTAATAGGGCATAAATAGTAAACCTTTTACACAAACAAAAATTTTACTTTTTGACTTAACAATCTGCACCTGGTCAAACAGAGTCTCAGAATTTTAGAGCTGGAAGAGACCTTAGAGATCATATAGTTCATATAGTTTACAGATGGGACATCAAGACATTGTCTCATTTACTGCCATATCCTCAGCACCTAGACCACTACCTGGCACATAGTAGGTGTGTTATAGGTATTTACTGGGAGAATGTATGAATTTGTTGTGTGTTTACTCTTGTTTTAAAAGCTATGCTAGCTATCTTCAGTGCAACATCCGTTGTGGAGTAATGCCAAAGGTAATTGAGAGAGGTAGTGAGCAGAGCCAAAAATATCCAGATCTGAGCCCAGAGCTCTCCTTACTGCTACACTGGCAGGTGGAAGCTGTGGAATAATTGGAAATTGTGCCAAAGCAGTCAAGTCTCACATGACCCCACCCATGTGAGGAGCCAAGGCCAGTGACGCTGGTGGCTCACTGCCCTTCTCATGGGGCTCCTGCACATAGAGCCGGTGGTGATGCCACATACCTGCATCCACAACTCTTCTCCACCTCTCAAGATACATTAATTTCTCTAGCCTGTCAAGTTTCCCTAGAGGAGCTGTTTTCCAGAATGAGCCTGTTTCATTTTTATAATATAAGCTCTTTAGGGCATGTAATGAAACAACATGTAGTTTACTACCAGCAACAATATAGAAGACCCTTTCCAAATGTCTTCTATGCATTCAACAGACAATTATTGAGCACTTACTCAGTGTCTAGCATTGCTAGTTGAGGATATACTGTCAAACAAGACAGTCACCAACCTCAAGTTTATAAATACATTAAGAGGGAAGAGTAATTTTAAGTAAAAACTGATAGGAGGAAGCATGGGATGCTATAAAATCAGAGACAGCTAATCCAGCTGAGCCAGAGAAGCTTCCTTAGAAGGATGTTTAGGCTGAGACTCGAAAAACAAGGTGGAAAGGAAGGGCTTTCTAGGTGGAAGGAATAAAATATGCAGACCCCCCCAAGGGTGAGAAAGGGTATCATGTTTTGTGGGGCTACAGGTACTTTGTTATGGCTGATTCTTAGAACATAGGGGCAAGAGATGAGACAGGATTGGACCTAATGGGTTTTTCTAAGGAATTTGAACTTCAACCAGAGAACTGTGGGGAACCACTAAATGATTCTGAACTAAGGGAATGAAAAGTCTGATTTCACTTCCGAAATTTTAGTTGGAGGGAATGGTGACAAATGAGTAGCAGTAAGATTCAGATCTTTTAGGAAGCTGTAGTGGAAAGCCAGGTGAGGATAAATGCAACTTTAATTAAAGGTCTGGAGACAGAGAATGGATTCGATTTGAAAGTTACTCAAGAAGTATCATATGCAGGACTTGATGAGTGGTCAAACTTGGAGAACTCAGGGAGGAAACCCAGGTTTCATGTGTCAGAGCTGGGGGACTGGTGTTGCTATTCACTGAGAGATACAGAAAGAGGAGTGGGCTCAAGGAGATGTCCAGTAAGCAAGTGACAGATTTGGGACTCACCAGCCTAGAGATGTTTATTAAAGACAGGCCTGGAAAGAATTTCCCAGGAAGAAGGCCATGGAGTGAGGACAGTTGGACCAAGGAAGGACCAGATCCCTGAGGGATCCTAACAGGCATGGGGCAGGCAGAGGAGGAGGAGCCCAGGAAAGAAAGCTGGAAAACCAGGAGTATGGCATTAGGGAAAGCAAGGGGGAAAGACATTTTGAGGAGGCTGCAAAGGGCAGTATCTGGTGTAGCCAAGCAATTCTATGAGATAACAGAGAGAGAAGGTCTTTGGATTTTACCAAGGAGATTGTTGATGACTTTGTCTCAAAAGCAGCCATCTTAGTGGTGTGGTGGAGGCAAAACCAGGCTGTCTGGGTGGGAAGCTGTATAGAAAGTGAAAACTTGGGGCCAAATCCAGGTAACACTTTCAAGAGAAAGGGGAGGCAAAAATGAGGGACAGAGAGAGTGATGGTTAAAGGAGGACACACAGTCAAGACATTTGTTTTTTATGATGGGAGAGGCCAAAGAGAAAGAGGGGATAATTGAGGGTATAAGGACCTAAGGAAGTGGGAGGGGATGGGATCCAGAGCCCAGTTGGAGTGATTGCTCCAGGGGGAGGGAGGGCGAAAAGGAGAGCGCTGATGTGGGCAAATGTGTAGGTGAGGTGGCAGGAGGTTGAAGGAGTTCCCATCAGATGGCTTCTGTTTCCTCTGTACAGGAGAAGGCAAGTTGGTCTACTGCCTGTGGTAAGGGGCAGGGGGAGGTGAGCAGCGGACGTTGGGAACAGTCTCTTTGAAGGATGAGAGAGAGCTGACCAGGGTCAGATGATTGCCAAGCACATTTCGGGGTCAGTTGCAGTCCGAGACCCTGAACTTGGAATGGCACTATCTTTAGGGAAGTATACCAGCAGCTCCTAGCAGCCAGGCAGTAGAAATGGAAAAAATGAACAGTCGGCGGTTATAGTTTTGCATGGTAAAGGCAAGGGGGTAAGCAAATTGTTGGTCTAGAGCTAGCAAAGGAAGGAAGTGAAAACAAGAAGAGGTTATGAGAGAAACTAGGAGTCAAACATTTATTGAGGGCCCACTATGTCTCTAGTAACATGTAGGGAAACAGAAATACGAAGATAAGGCAATAGTTTCCAAACCTGGCTATGCCTCAGAATCAAGCTTAATAAAAATACAGACTCCCTGGCCTCATTCCTGGGGTTCAGTAGGTCTCAGGTGGGAGGGCTCATGTGACTCTTCTGTAGCCATGTTTGGAAACCACTTGGATCAATGGAAAAAGACAAGTAAACAGACAGGGAATATATGTAGTATCATAACCCCATGACTCTGGTATATTCAGGCTGCTGTGGAAGCCAAGGGGGCTTGGAGGTGGGAATGTAGAGAGGATGACAAAATTTTCCAAGAGAAGGTGAGCCTATGCCTGAGTATGACTGGTGAAATCAGTTAGCCTAGCAAAGGGAAAGATGCCAAATAAGCGTTCCAAGTACAGGGAACAGCATGTGAAAAGGCAGGGCTGCATTTGTGGAACTCCAAGTCATTTGGTGTGGCTGGAGCACAGGGTGTAAACAGGGGAGTGGTGAGCTCGCTCAGGCAAAGGAAGCAAGAGCCAGATTGTTTTCAGCCAGATTCACCGTGCTCCATTTTCCTCCAAGGGACCATTTCTCTGGCACAGCCAAGGGCACACCTAAGAAGGAGGCCAAGAATCCTGACTTTCACAATAAATAACTTAGAAAGCGGGCTCCTCAGGGCCTGGAAGGGATAGACCCATAGGCTGATATAATGCAGCAGATGTGATCTTTGCAGGCCACTAGGTGGTGAATAGTATTTTTGCTCTGACTAGAAACTAAGCATTTACAGTCCCTTTTTTTTTTTTTCTTTTTTACTTGAGAAAAAGACAGATGTCCTGAGCTCAGACAGAATTATTGAAGGAACCTCCCTTCTAGGCTCTGAGCCAAAAACCAGAATAAGAGGCAGCCTAAAGTAATCAAATGTAAAGTATATGGACATTGTGGGGAGATGTTTCCCCCACTAAATGGTTCCTCCTCCTCCTTTCCCTGGCCCTGAAAGCCTGAAGCAGACCTCCACACCCTTTCGCCCTATTCTCAGAAATCTTCAGGCATATAATACTTTCAAGATAAACCACACAATCACGGGCATTTTATTTGTTTAGCAAACCCAAAGGTAATGTTTGGGGGCTGTTAGACTCTACTCACTTAACTTTTAGCAGAGGGTCCAAAA